CGCGCCCTCCGAGCGCCCCCCGCGAGGCCCACTTGCGCAGTTGCGGCTGTCCCCGGTCGTGCGCTCTTGTCGCCGCGTCCTGCCCGTCCTGGGCTCCCTGAGCGCCGGCTCCTTGGCAGGGGGGAACCTGCGCTGGGTCCCGCCCGGCCACGTGACTCTGGACGCCTGGCTGACGCTCTGCTCGCTCCTCTGAACACACGAACCTTCCTCCCACGAACAGTCACGGAGGGTTCTGGACCTGTCAGGAGCTTTGACGGGCGGAAAAGTCCCCCTGTTCTCAGGGAGCTTATATTCTAGGGGAAACAGACCACAAACCGACTTTAAACTGAGAACATAATAGTGGTAATTGCAGCGAAGAAAATAAAGTGAGGTCAGATGAAGTTGATCGCTTTGGGTGGGGGGGGGAGGAGACGTCTCTGTGAAGGGTGACGTTTGAGCTCGGATTTGAAGGGATAGGAGCCCCTCCAACCCCGACTGGGTGCGGGAGGACGTTTCTTGGCTGAGGAGGCCGCGAATGCAGAAGCCCTGAGGCAGACCAAGGTTAGCGTGTCCTAAGGACGGAATGATGAGGCAGGTAGAACCCAGTGGGGCAGGGGTGGGAGAGGTGGGAGCATGCAGGTGGCGGCCAGGTGGTCAGCCCTCAGTAAATGCCTCAGCTGTCAGCAGGGGCAGGATCTGCGGCCTGGGGTCACCAGGCTCAAGCGCTGTGTTGCTTCCCAGGTGAGGAGCTCCTTTAGCCGAAGCCAAGCTTTGCATCGACCTGCTGGTCCTGGTCCTCAGCCAGGATGCCCAAGATACTGTCCTGTGGGGTCTCCAAGAACATGACTTGTAACGGTAAGTACTGTGCTGGGTGGGCTCTCTCGGAGGTTGAAGGCGGCCGTGGAGCCTGGGTCAGTGAAGTCTGGACTCCGAGGGGCCTAAATCAGGCGGTGAGGCAGGAATCACAGCTTTGCCAGCTTCCCTTGAAACACCGTGTAACAAAGTGCCACCACAGACTGGGGGGCTTAAACAAAGGACATGTATTGATTCGCAGTTCTGGAGTGGAAGTCTGAGGTCACGGTGTGGTAGGGTTGGTTCCTTCTGAGGACTGAGGGAGCACCTGTCCCAGGCCTCTTTCCTGGCTGCTGGTGGTTGCTGGCAACCTTTGTCGTTCCTTGGCTTGTAGGAGCATCACCACAGTCTTTGCTTTCATGTTCGCATGATGTTCTGCCTGTGTGTGTGTCTGTGTCCAAATGTCCCCTTTTTATAAGAACACCCATCATGTTGGATTAGGGCCCACCCCACTCCAGAATGACCTCAGCTTAACTAATTACATCTGCAACTGCCTTATTTCCAAACAAGCTCGCAGTCAGAGGTGCTGGAGTTAGGACTTCAACAGAGGAACTTGGGGGAGACACCACGCAGCCTGTCAAAGGCGTCAGGAGGGAGCCATGTGGAGGTGAGCCTCTCAGCTTTCCTGCAGCCATGGCTACAAGGCT